CATTTTAAATTTTTTAACCTACCCTGACCCTCTCTTGCATGCATATTTTCTCTCATTTGTGGTTGTAAAAATCGAAAGAAAAGAACAGAGCCCCAACCTTTATCTCCCCAGCCCCAACGAATTAGTGGTGCAATGTATTTAGTTTAAAAACACTACATTTGTATGATTTCTAATTTATATATATATATATATATACACACACACACACACTTATCCATCAAATGTATTTAATTATTTATTTTAGTATTTTTCAATTTCTTCCTAATAATAAATTATATTCCTTTATTTTTAATAATTTTATTTTGAATACTTCTTTTCAAATGGTCACATTATATCCATGTAATATTAGATATGTATTACTTAATAAAATTTATATCCTTTTAAGTCATTTTGTATTTACACTTATTTTTTTATCAATCATCCAGACAAGTTTCAGCTTCTCAAACTGATTTTTTTACAAAATTCAATACAAATATAAATCATATTATACTATCTGACTTTTATCTAATCTGACTTTTGTAAAAATCAAATTGAAAAAAAATTACTTCTGTCACTGCTAATCCAAACACACCCTGAATCAGCTTAAAATAAGTTCATTTGCGTTTTACAAAATAATTTTTTTTTACATATTAAAATTATTTTTACACAACTAATCTGAAAATTAGGATTTAGAGTTTATGGTGAATTTAAAAAATGAAACTTCTAAAACGTATTTTCAAAAATATCATAGCTAATTATTTGTTTCATTTTTTTGAATTTAAAAAAACTGATTTTAAGTAAATATAATGATTTAAATTTTGAAGAGAGAAAAAAACTTTTAAATAAATTCCATTTCATGAACTTTGAAGATAAGTTTGGAAAAATATAAATAAATGGAAAATAAGTTGATTGATTAATTGAGGGGGAACTTTAAAGCCTATTCTTTAATAAAAAGTTAAGATTTTTAGTGAACCGAATAAGTGGAGTTTATCACTTTTACCAATACATTAGAGCTGGCTAGATAAAAGCCTTTGTTTGCATAAATTGCCCTTCTGGTTCCCTGATTTAAAAAATTAAAAACACACAAAAAAAGAAAAGGCCTTCAAGAAAAGATATGGCAATGCTTCACCCCCTCGACCAGCCCACCGTTATTCTTATTATCGTTATGGGCCCCAAATACATTCATCCAGACTCCCAGAGGCCGCACACTAATGTGGATCACAAAAAAAAAAAGGCCAGACACTAATTTGGATCCCAAAAACAAGTGCCAGACGCTAATTCATTTTAAATAAAATTTATCACTTTTAATACTGCTTTCAATTTCAGTATTTAATATAAAAAATACTAAAAAAATTTGATTAAATTAAAAAATAATTAACTAAGTTAATTATTTGTAATAAATGTGGGTTGATTTTTTTAAAATAATATTTCTAATCTTGTGTATTGTATTCGTAGCTACTATGAATGGAAATTCTCTCACCATATGAAAGACAAACTAAATCTTGTATTTAGGATTGGAAGTAATATATCTTGAATAATTGGCATAGCTAATGACGTCATTTCTGGTAAATCATAAAAAATGTTTCTGGGTATGTGATTTTCCTTTATCAATAGACAGTTTTATTTGACAGAAACACCCCTTTAGACCGTAACAACGCAAGAAAGCCCAAGTCATGATAATAAGTTCAGAACCTAAACTAGTAAAGACACATAAGACCAATAAGAGTTAATTTAGGTGGTAAAAAATCGGTTTAACTCACAAGATCGTAAGTTTGAATCTTGTTACCGATGTAATGATCTTGTTAGTAGGTGATCTGTAAGTATCTTTATAAATACTCTCTGAACCTAGAGATATGCCCTGACCCTAATAAACTCTCAGAACCCAACTCACTTAATTTTTTTTTTACAAAAAAAAAAAAGAAAGACACAAATTCATTCACAGTGACATGAAAAATGGAATTACCCAGTGTTTGGTACTGAAAAAATAGAGGAAAGAAATAAGTTCGATTTAAAAAATTAAAGAAGATTATAAAAATTGATAAAAAGAATATTTTGAATAAAAGAGTAAGAAAAATTAATAAAAAGTCTTCAGATTATGGGTAAAAGTACGACCTGCACCTTGATTTTATTTTCCTAATACATCTAGCTATATGATGTTATTTTTTAGTTACCATTCCTCTGGTCCTATTTACAAAATAGAGAGAAAAGACCTTTCTTGTCATATTTATAAGATACTGAGAGGAACTTTTTATAGAGATGTACAATTTTACTCTTCATTTATTATTATGTTGATTTTACTCACGTGAAGTATAATGTATATTAAAAAAGAATAAAGTTAAAAAAAATAGTTGAATTTTAAATGAAATTTAATAAAGGTTAAGATTTTCTTTAGTTTGGGTGAAATATGTTGAAAGTGACTTATAAATAGGATTAAAAGAGTAAGTCTTTTACTTTTTTTTTAAATACAACTCATTAAAATTTTCATTTTCATTTTCCGCATACACCAAACAGAATTAGATGGTGACCAAGATGGGCATGTGATTGTGTGGGAAAGAGGACACAATAGGAGAGATGTTAGAAGAAAGTGGAGACATATAGGCATATAATTGGAGATGTGAGGGCGCTTGGTGATATCGAGATTTGATTATGAAAGTGTCGTGATGCTCTGTTTGGGACAAAGACAATAAGTATCCACTGCTTCCTCATGTTACCATGCCCTTCTTTGGGGCACCCATATTTAATTCATTCGATCTCATTAATACTGTATTTTTATTTTTATTTTTTAAAAAACACACTTTAATAAATTGGCTGAGAAATGTTACAACACTTCACGTGATGCTGAACCTGAATTATTGCTTTCACAGAAAATGACATGTGAAGTTGAATGAGCTTGGGTGACTACTATTATTGTCCACAAAGTAACGTGGCCGCCGGGTGTTATATGAAGTTTTGGAAATGCATGAGCATTGAGGTTTGTTAGAATTTTCATAATATTTATAGTTTATATATTAAAGATTTATTAATTACATTTATGTATTTATCAAAGAGAGAAGAGAAGCAAAGTTAAGAAAGGCCAAACATGAGGAGAAGGAAACAAAGCAGCATGACATTGTTAACAAAATAACGAAAGAATCCTTAGACTAAATCACTGCTGTTAGCACCACAGGAGCCATACCCATATGCATGTTTCTTTGTTTTTTTATTTTTATTTTGCATCAGATAAATATTATAGGACCCCGAATCTTCTATTTTAGATTGCAATTAAACTTTATCTCATTAAATGTTTGTTTGGGATCACGATTGAGATTTCCAAAAACACTTATTCATGTTATTCGAAATAAAATTCACCTTACATACTTATCTCATATTCTATAAATTGTAATTAAAAAATTGTTTTCAGAAAGATCCTGATGATTTCAAATTCCTAATAGGTTCTAAGCCGCGTCCTCTTTTTCTGATGTCCGTCCAAATACAAAGAGGAATTAGAGAAACGAAAGATTCTATAAAACGGGTACTGAAATTAATGAAATTCGTTAAAATATTGAGCGTCATATTAGTGCCCGTTTGGATTAGCGATTGGAAAAGCAGTTTATAGAAAAAGTAGCTTATGAAAAAGTGAAGTTGGTAAAAGTTAAATTGGATAAGCTGAATTGTGTTTGGATTGAAGTTCAAAAAAGTTAGTTTGCAAAAGTGAGATTGGTAAAAATTCGTTTGGATTATAGTTGAGTAAAAGTAAGTTTGACTGAAAAATTACCAAAATGGGTATGAGTTTTAATAAATAATGAAACATGATAAAAAATTGATTTCACATAATATAATGAAATTAAAATAATTTAATTTGAAGAAATCAAATTTAATGAGTGAATTAAATTTTAAAATTTGAAAGAAATCATAAAAAATATTTTAAACATAAATTGAAACATAAAAAAATTGAGATAATATAATGAAGAAGTGAAATTTAATGAGTGAATTAAAATTGAAAGAAATCGTTAAAAATATTTTAAGTATAAAGTGAAACATGATTAAAAAAAATGATAAGAGAATACATTCAAATTAATTTTATATGAATAAATAAAATTGATTAAGTGAATTAAATTCGAAAACATTAGAGAAATGAAAAAAAAATAAGGCAAATAAAAGCGAAACAAATAGTTAGTTAAAACTGCTATATAAAATAAACAAGGATTTAAGATAGGGAAAACAATAATAGAAATAAAAAATATTTCTATTATGTGGTTTTTGGAAGAATTAAAAGAATATGCTTATAATATAGAGAGGGGGAAAAACATAAAGAAGTGTTATGAATTTTTAATAAGGGGAAAAGGTGAATTTACTTTATACCAGTGGCGGAGAAGCGTGGGAGCTCTCGGTGAAAATGTGTGAAGATTGTGAAAGTGAGCTGGCTCGAGGGACTGAGAGAGGAAAAGGGATATGAAAGAGAAAAAATAAAAATTATCTGACATGGCAGAACGGCTTTAAGCTCCTCTGATATAAGAATAAGCTCCTTCTTGGAGCTTGTTTTAACTGGGCGTTTCAGTAGCTTAAAATTGGATAAGCCCAGTGAACTTCAAACCTTGCCAAACGCTCTCATTTTCTCAGCCCAACTTAATTTAAAATTAAAACTGTTTTTGGGTCAGCAAACGCTGACCTAAACAGACCCTTAGTTACCAAAAATTTGACAAGAGAGAGTGAGAAAATTCATGTTTGTGTATATCATTCAATCATAAAATTATGACGTTAGCGTGATCCAGTATTAAAAAATTGCAAAGAAAAAAAAAAGATTTTAGCCATTACAACCATTCATGGTAGGATATAAAATCGACATATTGAATTATTATAGTAATTTATGGGAAATTTTACACAGTTTTCATGCTTCAGCATTTTGAGAACCGCTTGGTAATAATTTTCTTTTCTGGAAGCAATTACTAGGGTTTACAAAAACGATGCGTTATTTTTCTTGAGATCTATTTGAAAGAACAAACCACGCTAAATTATTCTTCACGTACATACTCTCCAAAATCTAAAGTAACAAAATTATATCTATAGCTTTTAACTATTGAACATCAAACATTACACATAATTTTTTTGTCCTCGGACTCTACATGGGGGACGTGAGCATTATATAACCAAACGCCATACCTGATGGCGCAAGAAAAAAAACAAAAGGTGAAGGGTAAAATTGGTACAAAACATCCACAAGGCCCACTTCCCCCTCAGCTAACCCATGTATATAATACAACAGTCCCCCTATTTCTTCTATCTTTCCCCTAATGACCAAACTGCCCCCGACATGATCAAGTTCACGACCTAGGACGAGCAAGATGTGAGTTGGGCTGCGGAACGGTCCATGGGCCGACAGAAATGGGCCTGCCACCAAACCTCTCACAAGATGGGCACATCGTGAGAGTAGTGGGTGGGGTCATTTGCATGTACAGTTGTGGGGAAAGTTTCAGTGCTCTCAACTCCTGCACCTCCTTCTGCAACCGCCTGTTCTCCTCCGTCAGATTCTCACAACACCTCTTCAAGAACTCACAGTCCACCTCCGTTTGCTTCAGCTTCGTCCTGAATTTTCCGATCACAGAACACTTTCAATACTCTACTCTTCGCAAAATCTAACCACGGTGAACAAGGAATGAAGAAATTAAACTAACCTTGCTCTTCTGTTCTGGAACCAGACCTCCACTTGTCGAGGTCTAAGACCTAGCTGCTTCGCCAGTGCCAACTTTTGCTTCTGCAACACAAGATCTTCGCCGTTACAATTAACATATTGTACGAAATAATTCCGTTTTCTAGCTGTTTGGTTGCTGAGAAAATCAAAGAAATAGTTGTAGAAAACTTTCTTCCGTTTTCCCGGCGACGAAACAGAACGATTGCACGATCCAGATCCGGAAACAGAGTAGTTTCAGGAGGATATACGGTGTTAATTGATACTTACGGGATTGAGAGTACTGTGCTCTTTGAAGCTTTCTTCGAGAATCGCCGACTGATCTTTGGACAGCCTGAGCTTCTTTCTGGAAGTTTCGTTGTCTTCTTCATCGCTGATTCCTCGAGAATAAGCTCTGTCCGTATCGTTCTCTTCGCTACTGTTTGCCTGATCTCTCTCGCTTCGCTTACCGCTCACGCTCGAGATTGTGCTGTTCGGAGACGAAATCCCCGCCTCCTCTTCACAATCGACCTCTGACGGCAATCGATTCACGTCGATTCCCCCTAGAGTCGACCGAGCTTCACCTCTGCATCCTTCAGAACACCGATCTGCATTAATCGAAAACACCACAGCGAAGTTAGATATAAACTCATTTCACTGATCAACAAAAATCAAGAAGCCTGGGATATGAATTAATGGAAACCAGATCTGTATAGGCACCTGAAGATTTGTTGGCACTGAAAGCGGAGTGAGGGAAGCTCAAGCTTAGATTCAAGCCAAAATCGTGATTTGAAAGCATGATTTGTGAGAATTTTGAAGAACTGGGAGTGACGTTTGTGAAGTGGGTTTTGCGGTTTTTGGGAAGAAGAGGGTGGGAAGGACGGGGATTATATAGAAAAAGTGTGACTTGGAAGGGCCTGCCATGATGACACCCAATAATCTCAATCATGGCTTTTGCCTCCGAAAAAACAAAATTAAATTTGATTAATTAAATAAATAATGCCACACTTGGGGTTGGTCTGCCTTCCCCCTCGTTCAAATCCCACCTGTTTACCTTGTTGCTTTTGACCATTTGCTTAGTGCACATCTCTGTGGCTGCACTGTCTCATTCCAAATCTGTATTTCCAATTTTTCTTTTATGCAACAAAATCTCATCCAAATAATTTGTATCCCTTAAGCACCATTGACTTTGAGATAAACGTTGAGAATTTTAATTAGGTTGAAAGGTAACTTTGGAATATTATGAGAATTTTTATTTGGGAGGGTACTGTTAACTAATATAATTAGTTTCTTACTTTGTGTGATTCAATTAAAATAATCATATAACATGAGTCCTCATGAGTTACTTTAACTTCGATACAATTTTACTTGGGTGGTATTTACAGTCTTTTGTTATGCAGAACATGATATATATGTATGTAGCCCTCCCCTGTTGTAATTATAAAAGCTAGATAATTAATTTTTAAAAATTAATTAAATTAGTTATTATTATTTCTGGTTCTTAATATAAAAGCTAGTTAGATATTGAATTTGATCATAAATTTTATATTTCAATCAATTTTGTCTCTTAAATTTATAATGTTTTTTAAAAAATATCTATATGGATTGTAAAGGGTTTTCACTAAAAGATAGTTCCAATACATATAATTAAATATGATAGTTTAGAGAAGTCAATGCACCTTCATTACAATTAACCAATTTAACTAATTTTTTTTAATCTCTTCAAATTAGTTATTCAGTTCTTATACGAAGAACAAGAGGTAATATCTATAAAAGATATGTATTATTTTCTCTAAAATACCCTTTTAACCATATGTATTGGAAACTATCTTTTAATAGAATTTCTTTTAATAAATATAATCAAATTGGGATAATTTAAAAATGTTAGAAACCTGAGTAATAATATGAATTAAAATTTTATATTTAAAACCAAACTAAATATCTTAAAAAAAAAAAAAAAGCATCACATGACTATTTACGACCATGATGATGCTTCATTACCCACGACAAAAATTGAAGATAAGAACAAGAAGAAAAAGTAGATGAGAAGGTTTTCCACCATCCTTACCAGTTACCAGGAGCAATTAAGTCCCTGAGAACGGAGAAAAAGAAAAAGAGATAGGCTCCATTCCCCGCATTGAAAAGTGGATAAAATATCTCTCAATAGAAATCCGGTGATTTTTGCTTAAGTTTCGGACATATCTGATCGCATCACCCAAAAACAATGCTATAATAATTGTAATAACAGTACTCCATCTGCCTTCTTTTTATTAAAAAAAAAAAAATCTCGTACCAATATTTCTAAATATAAGAAATAATTTTTTTGAAATTTCAAACTAGTTTTTTTATTTTTTTTCCAATTAAATATATACCACTTATTATCTCTGTAATAAATTTATTTATTATCTCTCATATATTTTCTTTGACTGCTATAATTAGAAAAATACGCATATAATTATATATCTTACATATTTATTTATTTTAACTAAAGTTATATGGTGTTTAGGTGATCCAAAAACACTTTTTAGAAGTACTTTTTCACAAATAGAAACAAACTCCTTTATATATTTATTTTATATATCGTAAAAATATTTTTAAAATCATAATTTTATTTCTACCCAAATATTTTTTTAATTAATATTTTGAAGTTGTTTCATATTATAATCAGGAAGCAGGAAGTAACATGCCTGAAAGGGTAGGGGCAGCAACCTCGATGAAGTGGGGGAATTTATTGCGAGGAAGATGAGGATGTCTGGGTGATGAATGAATGGGAATCTCAGGAAATCTTCATCGTGGAAGCCCAGATGGCCACGTGGCATTGTCTGTCGCCAACACCAACGGCTCACCGAAAATTCACATGCACCTCACTGTTATTTCACAGTTGCGAGTAAAATTATGTGCCCCGATCTTATCGCAGCACAGCCGAATCTCCGTCATTTTAATCACACAGCCAGTGACCTCCAAATATCACCACTGTTTCTTCGAGGGCCCTAGTTACATAGGCGATCGGTGCAGGACCACGGTCCACGTGTGAGTGAAAATTAAAATTTGATAATATAAAAATATAATATCGGGATCTCTTAAAAAATGGGCTGAGTTCTTAAATTTTTTGTCTTTTGGCCGACATGAGTACTTAACTAATTGTTTGGTGTGGAAAATTTTTTTTTCCTTCTTATTTATAAGTCCTAATTTAAATTTTTATTTTTCCGAGACATACTTCTCATGTCCTATTTAGAGGACAGAAAGAAAATTTTTTTCATATGAATATATAATTTTATATTTATTTTTTATTGTGTTGATAATGCATATTAAATAGGAAAAAATTTGAAATGTTATTTAATTTTAACAAGTCTGAGATTTTTGTCATCTGTATAAAATATGTAATAGAATAGAGAAAGTAATAACTGAGCGTGGGATTAGCACTAAGGACCATAAGGCTTGTGGGAGGCAAGGCCCTTGACCTTTTGGGCGTGCTTTAATGCTTTTTTTACCCCTCTCATCCCAAAAAGACGCCACTTTCACTTGTTCACTGCTTTATCGGCTGCTGTGAACCACTTAATTTTTGGCCAAAAAAAAAAAGAACCACTTAATTACATTCCCCCAATAATTCACCCCCCAACTTCGCTAACATCATTCAACACCCCCCTTCTCATCCCTTAGGATATGTTTGGCTCAATAAGAGAAAGAAGAGGAAGGGATTTTAACAGAGTGAAAGGGAGGGAAGGAGAGTGGAAGGATTTTAATATTATCTTATTTAGATTTATAAAAAAAGAGCGGAGAGGAGGGAAAAAATATTTTAATATGGACAATTTTGCTCTTATTTTATTTAAGATATGAGCATAATAGTCACAACATGACAAAATATGGACATAATGGTCACAACATGACCAAATATGGACATAATAGTCACAACATGACAAAATGCGAGCATAATAATCACAACATGACAAAATATTATTCTTTTCCTCCAAATCCTCCTAATTTTAGAGGAGAGGTTGAGGAGGAGAAATGATTAAAATCCCTCCCCCTCCTTCATACCAAACACACTCTTATATACATGCGCGCGCACAAACATAAATGTATGTATAATTTCTGTGAAGAGATAGATTTCACCATTAATAATTACAAGTTAATATAAATTTTAGCTCTTGAAGTTTGTTTTTACTTTAATTTTAATCTATCGAGATTTTTTCATTTATAATATTGGTCCCTATAATCTAATAAAAACTTAAAATATTTTGTCCCTTAAAGAATCAAAACATATGGTTTGAAATTTGTAGGATTAAAATCAAAATGAGAACAAATCTGAAAGACTAAAAATTATATTAATCTAATAATTAACTTTGCGTCTCGCAGAAAGCATCTCTGTTTAATTGTTCAGATTCCATGATGACAGCGTACGAGTATTATAATTCTTAAACATTCCTGGGCTATTGCTTCTCTTTCTTATCTTGCTGGTTCTGGATACCATCGTGCATGTGTATGTTTCTTTGGAATAGAATAGACTGGCTTCTTTTGGGGTTTGCCCTTTTTCTGACGATCTACTCGCCACCCTTCACGTGGCCCCAACATGCTTGCATGACGCCTATATCTCCTTCCTGCTTTTTCTCTCCCAGTTCTCTCATAGTAGTATTTATTATTCCTTTCCTCCCTCTAATATTACTCTCTCCCGTAACTTCCTGTTTCAACCAAACCTTCGACCTGCCATTAGTTTAATTGTAAAATAAAATAAAATAACTGTGGGCTATATGTATAGGGAGAGACACGGAGAGAGAATATTATTTACGATTATCCGCAGCTGTGACGAGGGCAACGGAAACAACATCATCAATACAAATTATTCTTTTTAAGGAAAATACTACCATCCTTAATATAAGAACTAGTTAACTAATTTAAGTAGATTAAAAAAATTATTTAAATTAGTTATTTATAATAAATAGGTATATTTTTTCTAAAGTATCATTGCTAATCAAGTGTATTGGCTAGAACTACTATTATTATAAGGACTACCTTGAAAATATGAATAAATATGAGGACAAAATGGATTAAGTTCTTATATTTAGGATCAAAATAAAAATCAAACAAACTCTTATATTAAGCCCCAGAGGTGGTACTTATAAGCCTATTTAACTAATTTGATTAAATTAATAAATTTAGGTAAGTTAATTAATTAAAAAAGATATGAAATATTTTTATAAAATATCATAATTATCTTACTTAATATCTTCCATTCTTCTTTTACTTGATTATGGTTGAAAAAGTACTAATAGGGATGATTTTAAAAAATTAATAAATAAATATTATATTTATGACTAAAATTAACTTAATAATTAGGTTTTATATTAATTTCTCCTTATTTATAAAAAAAAAAGGTTTTATAAAATTAATTAAGAGGGGGAAATATTATTTGTGGACGCACTCACGTGGACCAACATGGCTCCCTGCAATATCCACGTGCTGAGCTGGAACACCCAATATATGTTTCACACGTGGGTCCCGTTCAACAAAGTCGCAGGTGTCATGTTGTCGTTCCTCACACCGACACTTTCCTTCCTACAATCATTTGAACACCTCTGCTTTCTTATCTCTCCCCACTCTCAATCATAGCGCGTATGACGCACCGTGCACAATCCTGCCCTCTACAAACATTGATCAACGAGCGTGCGGCTGACATCGGATTTGGTAGATAGGCTGCAAAGAGAGTAGAAAAGGTGAGAAAGGGGTGGAATCGTGGAACTTATGGATTTCCTTGGTCCTCGCCTGCTTTAAAGATACCGACATTAATTAAACAAAAGGTCCTAAGCTTGAGCATAGAATAAATAATTCTATATTACATCAGTTCAAGATTTTTTA